CCTTCTGTTGAATACTATATAAATGTCTTCCTTTCTTCTCTTCATCCCAACTTTTCTGCCAATTCTCCAAGATTTTCCTCCAAATCATTATTCTAGCTTCTGCTTTACTTATTTTAATGTATATTTCTACTTCTGTCCTACTACTGGCTTGCTTTGCTAGATTATCCACCATCTCATTTCCTTCAATACCTACATGTGCTGGAACCCATGTAAATATTACCTGTATCCCAATATGACAAATTCGTGTGTAACATTCAAGTACTTCATATACTAGGTCTTGTCTTGATTGCGTTTTAAATGTTTTTAAACTTTTTAGAACAGCTCTGGAATCTGTGCACATTATTACTTTATTAGGTCTGCATTCTTCAGTACACTGAAGGGCCAGCCATACACCCACAATTTCTGCTGTAAATACAGATAATTTATTAGTTAGTCTTTTCTGCACACTAAATCCTAATTCTGGTATTCCATATGCCACCCCAGTTTAACACACTGCTCTATTGGAGACATGCTGCTTAAATGCCCACGACTTTACTCGTCCTCCAATCACTGAGTGGTTCATAAGTGGCTGCAGGTGACGTTCATCATCTATTAGGGTGTAGCAAACCGAGAAAGAAAATACAAAACAGAAACAAATACGTCCTAGGAGGTAACAATGAGGAATCCTAATGTACATTTAGTGTTGCATTTATTTGAATTACTTTGAGTGGAGAATGTGAGTGGGGTTTGTTGTCTGGGGTTACCAGGGGAACCATAAGCCGCTGAACTGTCATTACGAGAGCGACTCGACTATGAAGAGCAACAAAACTATGACCGTCTCATATTTTTATCCTTTTGGTGAGTAAATCCTGTCATAATGCCATTGAAATGCCATGATAACATGTTATTCAAGTGTCTTAACATGTTTACTGAGGTATTGTGCAGTTTAAAGGGTACTTTGTAGCGAAGATTGTATTTGTTGGCTTACACTGGATTGAAACAGCTGCTATTTGGTAACTGTGTCATTTGGTAACTGCAAAGTTTATAAAAAAAGCTCAATCTCGCTTGAATTTAATGTAAAAAATATATTCTTGTATTAAAATTGTTGAAAAAGAGTATTATTAGCAATTCCAGCTGTATAAATTCACTATTAATCAAAGATGACAGTTACACTCAATGGCTGTAACGGATTTGTTTACATTTGGATTGCTCAGAGCTGCAGAACAGGGGTGTATTCCAGAAAGCTGGGTTAACTTACCATCTGCTAAACCCTAAACTCTTGGTTGATTTACCCAAAACCTGCTTACCGCGAGTATGTTGGTTCCAAAACAGGTGGTAAGGGTTAGTTAAATCAACCTCCTGAAGATAACCGCGGGTTAATGCGCGTGCACGGCACACACCTGAAGGCATTTTCAGTAGATCGCCGAATTCACGAGTCACCATAGAAAGTCACGGTGAGAAAAAAAGGGCAACGCACTTTACAGAGGCAGAGCTGGAGGTTTTAAACACAGAGATTACACATCTGCTTCAAAGAAGGAAAGACCTATAGAATAAGACATAGATAAGAAAAGAAAAACTAAATAATAATAAAGTTTATTAGGTCATTAAATTACACATGTCACCCTCCATTTTATTGTAACGATAAATTAAACGACTCTTTAACATCCTTTTTGAGTATGTTGTGTAACCATTCATGCATTTATTTTTCTTGCCATTAATTTCTTAAGGCCACAATATGTGTATTGACTAATAAGGCTTATAGAAATTGTAATCTTTCTGGAGCTAGAACTCTGTCCAAAGTCATTAAACACAGAAACATTATCATAAAAGGTAATATTTAATTACTTGAGCTTTTTATTTAACACTCTAGAATATTCTTTCTGACATGCAGCTAATAGAAAGAGGCCTGTCTAACTGCTATGTCCTATAATAAAGGCTTTTCAGTGGTTGAGTTTTTGACTTAAACCACACACTCTGTCACTGTTGTAAGTGATTGTTGTCAGATAGCTTTAGGTACTTTTTATTTTGCATGCAGACGAAGTTCCTTCTGCCTCAACTAACAAGCAGTGTAAGAGTTTTCTGCACTTTTCCATATTTTAATATTACTCTTGGATCACAAAATCTTTTATCTACATATTTAAATTCTAATGTAGCTGTATAAGGTCCATCTTTATCCAAAGATAAAGTCACATGAGTATCACCTTAAGGTGAGAAATGTATATAAAAAATATGTTACACGTTTAAAGGTGCGTGTGTAAAGCAGTGTACAAAATCATTCATTTTATTTCAGGAAATGAAGAAATTAACAGACCAAACTATTTGATTAAACATAGTTTTTTGACGAATTATATATTCTTTAGCACTCTTCCATCTGTTTTGTCTGCTTGGGTCACTGAGATTTCCTCTGGGTCAGGCTGCAGGTACGTGTCATCGTATAAGGCAGAAAAGGGGATCTTTTGTCCTCCAGCAAGTAACAATGTAGTGCCTAGTAATAATTCTATTTTAAAATACAAATATAATAAAAATAAACATTGTGTTAAGCAACATTTGCTTTATAGTTTTTTTATTATTATATTTGTGTTATACACTTGAATCATTACTTCCTGAAAATCAGCCATTTAGCCTCAACATATAGTGATGAGGTGGGGTCATCACATATGAGCTTGTAGGTGGAAGCAGTAATAAGTTTAATAGTTGAAACACCAAAAAATTAAGGATAGAAAATTAAGTTGTACCTGCACACTTATACTTTGGACAAATTTGACTGATGGAGCTTTAAAATCGGCTGCAATTAATGCACACAATAGCATTTAGAAACCCTGAAAAAAATATTATATTAAAAAATGTAGGTGTGTGTGCGTGAATGTGTATGTGTGTATATATATATATATATATATATATATATATATATATATATATATATATATATATATATATATATGTGTATATATATATATATATATGTGTGTATATATATATATGTGTGTATATATATATATGTGTGTATATATATATATATATATATATATATATATATATATATATATATATATATATATAAGAACGACGTCCTACATCTTAAATTATAGATATATTTTCCTACAAAAGACAAAGCTGCCACTTATAATATTATACAGAAAAATGTGAGGGTGCAGAAGGAGAGAAAAAACACAAGATCTGTAAGTGAGATTCGAACTCGCTCCGTTGTGCACTCCGTTCTTCTTTATCGACGCACTGTCTACTAAGCTATTCCCGTGCTCTGAATCATCTGTGTAATGATACGCAGTAATGTATGACCAAGGAACTGTACAAAAGTGTAAAAAACAGTTCAGTGCGAGGCATACTGTACAGGTGGTCCTACTGCCACATTGTACAGTTGCCTAAAATGCCCTGTTTTTTATGGTAAGCGCAGACCCGCGGTTTGTCACATTTGATTTCAAAAAGGTTTGTTAAATACATTAACATTATGAATTTGGTTTTGAAAAAAACTATGCACTTATAACCCTCTCACAACGAAAAAAACTTGTATCTGTGTGTCCACATCCATAAATATTCTCATCAAAAGAGCACGCAATGCTCAGTAAACTCTGAAACAGACAAACTCTGAAACATAGCAACTTACTCTCTGAACATAACCTGCTCCGGAGCAGGTTATCTTCACAGAGTAAGTTGCTATGGCTACTTAACATACCCAGAAGTTACCTCCGATTTTGGAACCAAAGTTGAGGTTATCCACCTACTTACTCTCAAACTTACCCGGGTATGTCACATAACCTGCTTTCTGGAACAGCCCCCTGATGTATAATACTGTGTCAGAGATGTTTAATGCTTAAATGGACACAATGCAAAATGTTAAATACAAAGTATACCGTAACAGTGTGATATAGTAAATATAGTTTATGGAGACTAAGTAATAACATATGTGAATAATATGAATTAACTATATATATATATATATATATATATATATATATATATATATATATATATGTTTGTAATGTAAGACAAGACAAGGATTTGTGCATTGTGCATAAGACACTGTTTAATAATGTTGTATGGATTGTTTAAACATTACTTCATAGAAATATTTATGAAATAATAATACATTGTGACGCAGTAGGTAGTGCTGTTGCCTCACAGCAAGAAGGTCGCTGGGTCGCTGTTCAAACCTCGGCTCAGTTGGCGTTTCTGTGTGGAGTTTGCATGTTCTTCCTGCCTGCAGGTGAATTGGGTATAGGCTAAATTGACCGTAGTGTGTGTGTGTGCGCACATCCCTCAGAGATGTGTTGCGGCTGGAAGGACATCCGCTGCATAAAAAAACTTGCTGAATAAGTTGGCGGTTCATTCCGCTGTGGCGACTCCGGATTAATAAAGGGACTAAGCCAACAAGAAAATGAATGAATGAAATTATGCATTGTTGTTCTCATTGTAAGTATTAAAAACCTGCAAAATAATATTCAAGCTAAAAGCCTGGCCTGTGGCCTGTTTTTCTGTTCAATGGGTCAGAAATTCACCTTTTAAGTAAGACAAATTGAGGCAGTTTGTTAATTGGCTTAAAGTGGTAACCTTGAAATTAATAACGCAATACTAATTCGATTTTTTAAAGTGTGTATGAAGAATTATAAATAAATATTATTCTAATATTATATTTTTAGCTAAGTGACATTTTAGGAACATTTTAGGAACATATGAAAAAAAAAAAATTAACATGCAACTAAGTCAACAAATATGGTCCAAGTCGTGTTAATGCAAACTTAGTGAGTAACCTTCTCCGTGTGAGATTAATATGGCAAATCTTTCTCATTTTGTATATTGTATATTGTAAAATTGACAACTTAAAAAACAATTAACTATCAATTATAATTTATACATTTAAACTGTAAATTTTAATTTTTACGATAGTAAACTGTGGTGTATTCTATATATATATATATATATATATATATATATATATATATATAGCATTTGGGTCCTTCATTTATAGGACTACACTAATATCTCTTTGTATTAATGATCGTTTTTAGGGTTATAGGCCTGTCTAGGAATATGCTTGTTTTATAACATTTAGTTTGATTAATGGTTTACTCTGTCGTGCACTTAAATATTCATCTTCCAGCAGAAGAAGTAAAAGTTGAAAGCATTTAAAGAAATTTGAGTTAACTTTCACGCATTGAACATAAAACATTGAAATCAAAACTTATTTTTCATTTAAGTCAGAGACGTATTCTTTGCCTCGATAAAAGTGTAACTAATTACTCTTAATACACAAAAAAAGCTCTTTAGTCGATATAATGGGTGGCTCTTAAAAGAGCCTTTGGGGTAGCTGATGGAGAGTCAGCGCTTTACTTGGAGCTGGTGTATTTAGTGACAGCCTTGGTGCCCTCAGACACGGCGTGTTTGGCCAGCTCACCGGGCAGCAGCAGACGCACGGCGGTCTGGATCTCTCTGGAAGTGATGGTGGAGCGCTTGTTGTAGTGAGCGAGACGAGAAGCCTCACCGGCGATGCGCTCGAAGATGTCGTTGACGAACGAGTTCATGATGCCCATCGCCTTGGAGGAGATACCGGTGTCGGGATGAACCTGCTTCAACACCTTGTAGACGTAGATAGCGTAGCTTTCCTTCCTGGTCCTCTTGCGCTTCTTTCCTCCTTTACCGGCGGTCTTAGTGACCGCTTTCTTAGATCCCTTCTTGGGCGCGGGCTTTGCTGGCTCAGGCATGATGAAGATTTCAGAGTGCGAAACCGAGTGAGGTTCTGTTCACTGTAAGGGGTATTTATTGAAAGCTCGTGCCAAGCCGAGTGACTGCATTGTATTTCTATTGGGTGCTTTCGCTCAACGAATGGAGATCTCATTGGTCAGAATTAGGCGGCTAGATAAACTTTCCGCCAATCGCAGGCCTCTAAATTTGAATAATCAACTCCCAGTGATCTCATTTACTGTTGACTTTTCCCCCGCTATAATGCAAAAAGCTTACACAGCTTTAGGTTAAATGTTATGGTTGTTGCACCATCTTACAATAGTCATTCTACGATAATAGTCATGCGAAATCGTTCCATTACCCGAAATGAAGAACTATTTCAGACAAATACAGAGCAGAATAGCTGTAACAGAAGCAAATTATTCATTTATAACGGGTGTTTTATTTCATAACCTTAATAGTTTAATTCTCTGTAAGCAATTTGGGGGTTTCAATACCTAATATATGACTAAAGTTATTTGCTAGGAGGTAATTTTAATTAAAACCTAGCTTACTGTCTTTTGGAATGTCATCTGTCTGTATATTTCATAATCTAGTGATCTTGTACTTGTTAATTTATTAAACTCAGTAAACTACATTGAACATCTCATCCATTAATATACATCTGTATTTGAAATTATACAAATTATTAGAATCAAAGGCGCCCATAATACGTCATGTCTCCTCTGAAGTGCAGTACTTTAATACTTGCCTTACATCTAATTATTTTACATAACTGCTCCATGTTTACAGTACAAATTAATAATAAAGTCTAAAATTTGGGATTGAACCATTTGGAACCTCTGAAAATAAGAAAACATTCTAAAAACTAACATTTTAAAACTCATAAAAGATTGGAAATGTGCTCTTTGTGAAAGTGTGGGTGGCTCTTAAAAGAGCCGTTGGGTTTTCAGGATGGACTGCAGATGTTTAACCGCCGAAGCCGTACAGAGTGCGTCCCTGTCTCTTCAGCGCGTACACAACATCCATGGCGGTCACGGTCTTCCTCTTGGCGTGCTCGGTGTAGGTGACGGCATCACGGATAACGTTCTCCAGGAACACCTTCAACACTCCGCGAGTCTCCTCGTAGATCAGACCAGAGATACGCTTCACACCGCCACGACGAGCGAGACGGCGGATAGCGGGTTTGGTGATTCCCTGGATGTTATCACGGAGAACTTTACGGTGACGCTTAGCGCCTCCTTTACCAAGTCCTTTACCACCTTTGCCTCTTCCAGACATGAAAGCAACAATAAGTATTTAATAAATGAATGGTAACTCTGCGAGTGATATTTTACAATCGCTTACAGGACCTAGTTGAAACCTGAAAAGGAGGAGCTACGCGTTTTCAAAATACGTCACGTGCTACCATTATCCGACCCCGCCCCTAAAGGTAACCTTAACTGGAAAAATGACAGAATCTGTACAGCAGCAGCAGTTTATTGACCATTTCAAATACAGCAATAAATCAGAATTACAAATCACGCTTCTGTGTTTACAGCAGGGATTATTAGAATTGTAATTGCACTTCAAGTGGGTGGAAGATCAGTTTATAGAAAGGACTGTGGTGTATTGAATCATACTATAGTACAGTGCATTATGTATTTTGTAATATATAGTGTTTTTGTTCAACTCTTTGTTATCTTGTCTAAAATTCTGCAACTTTGGCATATTGTCTCAAATTTTACAACAAAAGAAAACTGGGGACAAAAGAACACTTCACATTTTGTAGAAATTAAAGTGTTCCAAAAATATCAGGGCCTTAATACAGGTGAATATAATGCAAATGCTTTTAAAAAGCTTTTATTTCCATATTTCAAACATGAAACACTGCATTCTTAATATTACCGTAAGAAATTCTATGAATTATTGTTTATGTTTTTTTCCAGACGGCAAGTGTAGCCAAAAATGTGTCCTGAAGCACACTCATGACATAAAAGACATGTCCAGAGCAATAACTTAAATACTTGTTTCTTATTTCCTATAAATATAACTTATATTTTTATATCTAAAATGGTTTCTTATTATATTCCATAATTTAGATTCTTCTTATTTTATTTTTTAAGGACACGGGCAGTTCTATAAGAATTGACTTTTTATTTGACAAATAAAAGTTTACCTTGATTTTAATTGGCGATTCATCATACAGTGGCAACCCCTTATAAAATAATGGACCAAGCCGAGGGAAAGTGAAGAACATTAATATTATATTAAATAAACCCTTTTATAAACATTTTATGCAAATACAGTCAGCCTTTTCTGCTGATTGGCTTTCCGGATTATTTGTCATGTCCCCCATTATGAAAGGAGACAAACAATTCTCAAATAATTTGTTTCAAAGGGGATAGAAAATTACTGATTTGATTGAAATATACTTTCATTGTTTGATCTCAACATTTAAATAGATTAGTCCTTACTTTTTCCTTCTGAAGGAGTTGAATAGATCATTTGTTTGGTGAAGAATTTACTATATCTGGCATAAATCGTATACAGAGCTTACATATGTATTTACATGTGATGTTGATATGTGAAATAATAATATAGAGGCACAGTATAATCAGATATAATAACAATATAAACAGCTCTTTAGTGGAGATTTATTGATTCACAGATGTTTGATGTGACGTGAACAGCTGTCACTACATGCACATTTTTGTTTTAACGAATAATTATTTTGAGTTATTCAAAATAGAGACTTTCTCTGCATTAAGTTAGCTGGCAGTAGATTATTTATTGTACCATTTTGATAAGAAGTCTGTGCGAACAAGTTCCAACTTTGAGTTCAATGTATATTGTTCTTTGTGTATGTGTGTTTGTTTTTCATCAATTCAATTAAGCTGTATTTCACCTCTCCTCACCACAGAAATAGCCTCATCTCTGACCAAGATGTTGTTTGGATTTAGGTAAGTTGTGTGCAGGCGGGTAGATTTTCTGGATTTATCTATACTTTAACTCGTCAGGTTAAAACACGGTCATGTATGATGCAGTTAGGGATGCATGTTAGTGTGCAATTGCTGTGAAGACAAACTCTGTGCAAGTGTTGAAGTTGACGTTTTAGTGGAATAACCATTGTTTTTGGTGAACAATAAACAGATCCAACTGTACTGTATGAAAAACACACTGTACCTCAGTATTTGCAGTTTACTAAGGGTTAAATTCAGCACATGGGGTTCAGCTGTGTTGATGACCATTTCTCTCTTTAAATTTATCCAATCCTATTTATGCCATTTCTGTAAAACAAAATGGTGGCTTATGGGGGTTTCTAGCTGAGCATCCATCAGGCAAATTTTGATTATAACTGTACTTATAGGTCATTTTAGATCGTCAGTGATCCGTATGGAGATGATCATTAGTGGGATCTTGCTCTTTCTGAATATTCATTGTTCTGTTTTAAGTTTTTGTTTCCTATTTAAAGCATTCGAGATCAAGAAAAATGTAGTTTGCTTTACAAAATGTGTGATTTGCTTAAACTTCTTTCGAGGTTGCCCTAATCTAGTCAATATTATAATCACATTTCATTTTTAGCAAGGTTTAATTTGATGTTATGTCAGTTATATTGACATATTTAAAAGCAACCCTACACCCTTCTGACAAAATGTTTTTAATACCACTAGTTTTGTTTTCATACAATCAGTGGTTAAAGATTATTAATATATTTTTACTTGATACTACCTGTAAACCCGTACTCGGTCACTACAGCTCACAAAAAGTTATACCATTTAATATAATATACATCCTGATAACGAATATAGGGAATAATAAACCTGAAATTGTAAGAAATTGCAGTTTTTTGATGTACTGAAGTGGCTCTGAAAAGAGCCTTTGGGTTTAAATCAAGTTAACGAATAAGTTAAGCGCGCTCTCCGCGGATGCGGCGGGCCAGCTGGATGTCTTTGGGCATGATGGTGACCCTCTTGGCGTGGATGGCGCACAGGTTGGTGTCCTCGAACAGACCGACCAGATAAGCCTCGCTGGACTCCTGAAGAGCCATGACGGCGGAGCTCTGGAAGCGCAGATCAGTCTTGAAATCCTGAGCGATTTCTCGGACCAGACGCTGGAAGGGCAGTTTGCGGATCAGCAGCTCAGTGGACTTCTGGTAGCGGCGGATCTCTCGCAGAGCCACGGTTCCGGGCCTGTAACGGTGAGGCTTCTTGACGCCGCCGGTAGCCGGAGCGCTCTTACGAGCGGCCTTAGTGGCGAGCTGCTTCCTTGGAGCTTTGCCTCCGGTGGATTTACGGGCGGTCTGCTTGGTTCTAGCCATTTCCTCAAACTTCCTAAGCTCTCTTTAGAAAAGTTGTAATGTTAGTGACAGCGCAGCTGGTATTTATACTCTGTTCTGCATTGTTCTCTGTGGGTGGAGCGTTAGCAAAGTCATTAGATTGGCTACAAGATCTGACCAATGGTTGCACGTTCTCGAATTTTGAATCTGAAACAGCTGCAGCCCGCGCTTTTCTCTCGTGTGTAAGCTGATCTATCAGAAATCAGTTTATTACTTTACAAGTTTTTACTGAAATGTAATATTTCGTTGCTTAAATCATAACCTGTGTTAGACATCTGTGAACTAATATGGTGTTTATTTGCTGACATTCAAGTAAACACAGGAAATATTTGTCTCTTCCCAGTAGTGTTTTTCATCCACTCTTGTGTGATTTTGAGTCTTAATTTGGCCACTACTTTTTTTCAGAAAATGGAAATGTTTTCTTGTTTTGTTTTTTTTTTTTTACATATTTTAGGATGATTTGAAACTTTTCAAAACTCCAAACTAGCATATTTTTCCTCATTTACTTCTATCATGACATTTTTTATGCAAAGTTGTGTCATAATCGTGCATTCTTGGTTGCTGGTGGATTTCCCTGTTAGAGAAAGATAACATGTAATTGTCACTGGTGATTATTAGTTTCAGTGCAAAAAAAGAAAAAAATAAACTTTCTGACTTGTTTTACAGAGTTTGTAGTGTGCGTGAAAGACATTCGCAAATGTACCTTGTCTGAGAAAATTAAAATAAGCACCTCATCTTTCAGAACAATTTAAATATTGAATTTATGCTCACGCATCACTCAACTTTACTCCATAAGACTTCATATATAGGCTAGAAGCCTTTTGCACAGAAGTGGTCAACTGATCAACAGTAAAAAAAACACAGGTGATCTTTGATTATATGCAGTTCTTTGCAACAAAAACCTTTACGAAAAGAAAACAGGATAAAAACAGCAACTTATATTAAGAAAAAGATTTGAATTTACGAGTCACGGAAGACTTGGTTGATTTTGAAAACGCTTTTGATATTTTTGGGTAAATTGGCCTACTTGTCTCGACATACTGTTAATGCGTGATTAAAGTATTTACTCTTTCAAAGAGAAAGTTGGTGGCTCTGAAAAGAGCCTTTGGGTTTAGCAGGCTTATCATTATACTATAGCGCATTATTTGCCTTTGGCAGCCTTCTCGGTCTTCTTAGGCAGCAGCACGGCCTGGATGTTGGGCAGCACACCGCCCTGAGCGATGGTCACTCCACCCAGAAGCTTGTTCAGCTCCTCGTCGTTGCGCACCGCCAGCTGCAGGTGACGGGGGATAATACGGGTCTTCTTGTTGTCCCGAGCGGCGTTTCCGGCCAACTCCAGGATCTCAGCGGTCAGATACTCGAGCACAGCGGCCAAGTACACCGGAGCACCGGCACCCACGCGCTCGGCATAGTTACCCTTGCGGAGCAGCCTGTGGACACGGCCGACGGGAAACTGAAGACCAGCCCTTGATGAGCGAGTCTTAGCCTTAGCTCTGGCTTTGCCACCGGTTTTACCTCTTCCGCTCATGTTGCTTGTATTCCTGTTGTTCGCTAAAGAGAAGTAAGGTTGTCCTACTAAGGCAGCCAGTATTTAAGAGAGCGTGTTCGCCTGCTATTGGTCAGTGTCTGTAGAGGTTTCAAACCAATCACTGCACTTCCCTCCAAATTTCAAACCCCTTCCCTCTCCGCACGTGTCTACCATTAAGCCTGTAAGAAATGTCTTTATATGATAATAATAATAATAATATCAATCATAAGTTTAACTAAATTTCAAATATGCAGTAAACAGCGTTTTTTCACGCACCAGTCAGTTTAGATTTTTGGGGCATTTTAACTTTTTTCAGTGTTCTTTTTTATGTCTGATGTAAATATCCAAAATACACTTAATTATCTTCTTGTGCTTCAGCAAACTGCCTAAAGATTTTAAATACACAAGCTATACATCTCTTTTTAAGCAACACATACACCATTATTATTTTCTCCGTTTTTGTTTTTTAACCGATAATCTTTTGTTCGACAATTTTTCCTAATTGTATGCATTTATTCTAGTAAGTAATCTTTTTTTCGCTGGCTGTTTGGATTACTTTCAGAAGTATAACGTTTAAAAAAATACCCACTGTAAAACTAAAGTTTCGCCAAAATAGCGCTTTAGTATATATATATATATATATATATATATATATATATATATATATATATATATATATATATATATATATATATATATGTGTGTGTGTGTGTGTACACAAGTATAACATTACAGAAACCTTGTACCACTATACTATATTCCTTACCCATATATTGTGGTCATTATTGTTCAAATGATGGGGAAACAATCATGGCTACTTCTGGAAATAGCAGATGACACACTTTAGATGAGGGTTGTGGAAATGTTCTTCTGTTGTAATCAGTGGGTGGCTCTTAAAAGAGCCTTTTTGTTAAATTGTGGAAGAGAAACAGATTTACTTCTTCTTGGGAGCGGCCTTCTTAGGCTTGGCCGCCTTCGGCTTCACCGTCTTGGGCTTTGCAACTTTCGCCTTTTTTGGGCTCTTGGTTGCTTTCTTGGCAGCCGCTGGTTTCTTCGCTTTCTTGGGGCTTTTTGTCGCTTTCTTAGCAGCTGCAGGCTTCTTGGCTTTCTTGGGGCTCTTTGTCGCCTTCTTCGCGGCGGCCGGTTTCTTCACCTTCTTGGGTGACTTCTTTGCTGCGGGTTTCTTGGCTTTTACTGCAGTTTTCTTGGCCGCTGGCTTCTTCTTGGGCTCGGCTTGCTTCTTGTTCAGCTTGAAGGAACCAGAGGCGCCTGTGCCTTTAGTCTGGACCAGGGTGCCGTTAGTCACCAAGGCCTTGACGGCAATTTTGACGCGGGAATTGTTCTTCTCCACATCGTAGCCGCCAGCAGAGAGAGCTTTCTTCAGGGCTGCGAGGGACACGCCGTGTCTCTCCTTGGAAGCGGTCACAGTCTTGACGATGAGATCGCGGACATTTGGACCCGCTTTCTTGGGTTTGGACGCCGCTTTCTTCTTAGGAGCTTTAGCCGGTGGGGCAGCAGGAGCGGTTTCAGCCATGGTTCTTTGAGCGTAAACAGTCAGAGGTCAACGAAAGTCTGAGCTCAATACAGTGGCGCTGCTGAGCGACTGTGAACTTAACTACCACATGAGAACCGTGTAGACTCAACACAACGACCATCCGCGCCTTTGCTAATGTGTGCTTAAACATTTTTATAGTGTATTACAGTGTATGGTTTAAACATTGACTCAAATCAAGTTGTACAGAAAATTTTGGCAGAATAAAAAGGAGGGGCTAGGGTTTTCCCTTGGAACTAAACAAAATCGAAATAAATATGATCCTACAACCATCGAATCAAATGCCTCACAAATAAGGCTCTGCAAAAAAATAATAAATTAGACACGGGTTTTAAGCCAATTACTTTTTAATCTGTTCGGTCTTCTACTCTTATAAAATAAAGTTAAGATATGTAAAAGAAAGAAAACCACATGACTGATAGAAATACACACAATAAGTACATAAACGGAATACTGAAAAACGAAACAATGAACTTGGTTTGCTTATTAAAACTTGACTTACAGCCGTTAACCTAAAACTACACGTTTTCGCTGTCAATATATCTGCTTAGGTTTGGGATAAGTTCGCTTATCTGTAGGTCGAATTACATGACTAAAGCAAAACACTAGTATGGCTCTCACATTAAAGTTTTCGTTTAAAATCATTCCCCAGCTCGCTAGAAAACAAGTTTATTGTTTGTAACCATAACATTGGCTATTAAAAGTTTTAGGTAGGGGGACGCTTATAAACAATAGCAGGGTAGTTTAAAATGTTTCATCAGTAAATAGGTTACAACTCTTTTAATGAAAGCTTGGGTGGCTCTTAAAAGAGCCTTTGGGGTAGCTGAAGTGGATTCAACGCTTTACTTGGAGCTGGTGTATTTGGTCACAGCCTTGGTGCCCTCAGACACGGCGTGTTTGGCCAGCTCACCGGGCAGCAGCAGACGCACGGCGGTCTGGATCTCTCTGGAAGTGATGGTGGAGCGCTTATTGTAGTGAGCGAGACGAGAAGCCTCACCGGCGATGCGCTCGAAGATGTCATTGACGAACGAGTTCATGATGCCCATCGCTTTGGAGGAGATCCCGGTGTCTGGGTGAACTTGCTTCAACACTTTGTAGACGTAGATAGCGTAGCTTTCCTTCCTGGTCCTCTTGCGCTTCTTTCCTCCTTTTCCTGCGGTCTTAGTGACCGCTTTCTTGGAGCCCTTCTTGGGTGCGGCTTTTGCTGGTTCAGGCATGTTGAAGATTTCAGAGAGAGAAACCGATTAACGTTGTGTTCACTGTACGGAGTATTTATCAAAGCTCTTCCCAAAGCCAGATGACTCTGTTGTCTTTCTATTGGTTCGCTCAATGACTGAAGAGGAGATCATTGGTCAGAAATGAGGAGATACACAACTTCTTCGCCAATCGCAGGACTCTAAATTTAAATAATTTCCGCCCAACCCCCAGTGACCTCCTGCACTGTTTCTTTATTTGACTTTCCCGCCTAGTTTCTTCTGTTTACTGAAAAGTTGAGCTTGGACCTGATTTGTGTAGGTGTAATACAAATGAAGAGTTTAGATGCAAAAACCTCTAAATGCTATCTGAAATTTTATCCTAAATGAGTGTTGTTCAAGTATTTTATTTTGAAGTTTTCTAATTTTTTAATTTCAATTTTTTTCTAATTTCTAATTCTTCTAATTTTTGAAGGAAATATCAAATGGCATTTTAGAGGTTTTGTGTGTATGTGTGTGGGTGTGTGCTTTTTTTTTCATTTTTTTTTTTCAAAGCCGTTGTTGTGTTAAGAAGGGGTAATGTACTGCCTTTAAACTGTAAATGCAACAAAGCAGTGCACACACACACACACACATATATATGTATATATTGGTGTTGGGTACTCAACCTTGGACTCGGACCAGGGGCGCAACTGCACATTTACTGAGGGGTATGCGAGATATGCATACCCCTCATGAAATTTGATATGAGATATGATAGAAATGGGAGTCCTAAGGGACAAAAGAACTTTAAAATACAATCACTCCTCACATGCAAACTGTGAGAGGTGTAAGGTCTGTCTTTGCATGAGCAATTGACTGAAACTGCTATTTCACAAAGTGAAATAAAAAAAGACTGTAAAATGAGACAAACTGCCTGTTTTATTTTATCAAAATGTTATGGGCAAATCTTTTTGAAACTAAATTGAAAACATGTCTATAGTATAAAAATGGATCTTAATAGAAGGATGAATAAACATCTCAGTTCCAAAAAATGTGAATATTCTGAATATTTGTTCATGTGTCAGTTTTAACAGGGTTAAGAATCGTTATAATCATGCAGGAATATCACATTTAAATAGGTGAATTTTTTAATCCAGATATTATTTTCTATTTTGTCTGTAATCCATTCAGTAGGCCCACATGGAATTTTCTACAGTTTTCTACAGATTTTTTGCCCATCATTGAAACTATGTATTTACTTGTGTAATTGTGTGTACATTTAAATTTACTCATTTTTTAAATTCTTTTCAATAATATTGTTGTAAAAAAATAATAGTAATATTAAAATGTTCATATGATTTATTTACAATACAGTTGGTAAAGTGGTATTTTCTGCCTTTTAGTAGATATGTTATATGAGTGACTGGCTTTGTTTACCAAATAAGTGGATCTAATTTGATTTGCATTGTAAACATTTAATAAAATGGACGAGCCAGTGGCGCAGTAGGCAGTGCTGTCGCCTCACAGCAAGAAGGTCGCTAGGTCGCTGGTTCGAGCTTCGGCTCAGTTGGCGGTTCTGTGTGGAGTTTGCATGTTCTCCCTGTGTTCGCGTGGGTTTTCTCCGGGTGCCCTGGTTTCCCTTACAGTCCAAAGACATGCGGTACAGGTGAATTGGGTAGGCTAAATTGTCCGTAGTGTATGAGTGTGTGTGCATGTGTGTAAAACTTACTGGATAAGTTGGAGGTTCATTCCGCTGTTGCAACCCCGGATTAATAAAGGGACTAAGCCGACAAGAAAATGAATGAATGATTGAATGAACATTTAATAAAATTTAAAAAGGTATTATTTTTTATTTCATATTATATATATACAATTTTTAGTTATGACAATCCTAAAATCATTCCGCATAAATCTGCAGATTTTTTACAAAATTCCCAGCAGAAATAGCAAAAACTTTTAGCAGATTCTGTCTGGCTCTAATATTTAGGTATGTACTTTTAAACACATTTTGTGTGATCCCTTTTATTTTGGCAAAAATAATTCATTAATAATATTAAATAATAATAAATGAAGAACATTTTTCAGATTACTCTTATAACTTTTGACCTCAACTGTAAGTGTGATTTGACAGTTTATTTTGACAAAACTTTTACATCTACATCAACTTTCCTTTACACTTGGATGTGTGTCTGCATGTTAATGTTTTAAATGATTTTGAATTAAAACGTGTGTGCCAATGCAATTCATAAACCCTCTCGTTTTCGCCATATTAATTCTACCATATTTTACCATTCTATCCGCTGTCTTCCATGTGTGTATTTCTCCCACATTTGTAATGTTTCTATGAAAAGTGAAAGTAGCAGCTACACCGAATCGATCTCAAATGTGATATAACTGCAAGAACTGTTTAAGAAAATTAAGCTTTTGCATTATTTTGGATTGACAGTGCGTTGAAATTAATGTAAAAACGGCTGCATTCACGTCTTGTCTAGTAAAACTGAGTATTATAAAGTAGTCAGTCATGTGTACAGTTAACAGTTTAAGTGTAATCGACGAAATATAATTAGAAATCAACTAATATTACGCATCATGAGTGTTTATTTCCTATTTTATTAAAGCATGTCTGTGAGTTTCAGTTCAGACTGTGTGATTATGAGAATAAATATTGATTTTATTTGACAAGTGAATTTGCCCAAACAAACAGCCTCCTGTAAAGAGTGTTTTTCTGTTTTAGTTTATTTGTTATACTATAAATTTATTAGTGGAGAAATTAATCAGTTTTTCTATAAAACACTGTATTTCTATTTTATCTCCTTGGCACATTCAAACTGACAGCCATCAGCCATTTCAGTATATTCAACAGGGTATATGCCGAGCTAATGTGCTTCCCATACTGATACACTTCCGGTAACCTGTTACTGTAAATTTTTTCCATTTTATACGGTTCCTTTCACAGCATCAATGTTTTAATGTAATTCAAATACAATCAGTTAAACAGACTTTGGCATTCATTTGGTTGATCAAGCGTAAAATGAGACAAAAAGCCGCTTGCTCGCACGCACCCGTCAGAATCGGCAGGCTAGCCGATATGCCGAAGCATGCTAAAAGGACTTTTAACTTCAAAATAACAGGTCACCGGAAGTGTATCAGTATGGGAAAAACACTCGCTCGGCACATACCCTATTTAAAATGTGCGCAAACAAATGATTAACATGTTAACAATTTAAAATAAAGAGTATGACGTATTGAATTGATTAATAATTAAACACAGACAATGCTGATAACAAAGAGTAATAAAGTAAACCAAATCCAAAAGTTCCAAAGTTCTCCCCCATCACTTTGTTTTGAGTTGGTATCGACCGAGTGCTACAAATGGCCACCGCGTGCGTCTTTTAAACGTGTTGCCGGTTAGATCGAGACCGCAGAGACGCTGTTCAATCCCGCTCTCGTCAACCAAACGAAGATAAAGAAACCGTACTGCAAATATAGTAAGCTTACTCTTCAAATTAACCAACCATGTACGGTAAATAAAGTATTACAAATGATCAAACAAAAGTTGTGTGATATTTTGTTGTAGTGTAATGAGATCGTGTGAATAAGGCAAGTTAAACATGTTTCAAATCATTGATAATGAAAACAAACGTGTTTAATGAATTATTTAGGCTCTCCCATCTGTGAGGTGAGCGTTTAAGGATTTATTAAGGTAAAGTTGATTTTATATTTACACATTCGTTCAGTGACTGCTCCCTGTAACGTTATAGTTTACCATAGTACTTTAAATATTTGGATTGAAATTACATGTAGGAATGACTTTACAACATTAGCAGTATTTTATTGACTGAACAATGTCGTACTTTGACACTCAGTGGTTGCTAACATGATTTCATTGTTTTTATATTATTGAAATTATATTTATTAAGGAGAAAGTCTGAATGTGCGAAATATAAACCAACTTTACCTCAGTTAAGGACTTTATTCTGTTATACGTTTAGAATAGGACGTTTTAGTCCTTTAGGAATCACATTACAACATTGTTCAGTCAAATAAATATTGCTGATGTAGTTTTGCAGTCATTCTTACACATGAATTCATACCGAATATTCAGAGTAGAGGTAAACAAAATTGAAACATTAGCTCAATCATCCTCGTGTTTGTTTTTCTGAATAAAGCTGTTTATACAACAACACTCTGCTTTGCGTCTGCTTTATTTCATGATAACCGTCTGGAATGTTCTTTAACCCTCACATGTAGCAATGTTGTGATCAACCAATCACAATCAAGAGTTCCAGAGAGCTGTGTAATACAATTAAATAAACAACACTAATAGAACAAGGGTCCGTTCTTCGTACCTCGCTTAAATGATCTAAGATGATTTGGCAGATCCTGGATCTTTTAATCTTGATAACTGATCTCTCGCTTATTTGGTTCTTCAAACAAGTTCGCGAATCAGATTAGAATGTCTGGATGAACTGATCTGAGATCGCTGCGTTTGTTGTTAAGGACAGATCTATCGATCCTCGAAATCATGATCAGCAATGCAACGATTGGCTGACGGCACAGCAGCGTAATGACATCATCTGATTAATATTCAATTATCCATGTGAGCAAAATTACATCAAATTAGCAGTAAACGGCTTGTTAAATAAGACACGCAGTAACTTCACATTTGTTGTGAGCTGCAGGCTTTACACTTTCATTTGTCAAGACAAGAGTATTCATCATGTATTTCAATGCAAATCAGTGTATTTAGTTCTACATTTAGAAAAGATTTTCTTTATTATAGTACAGTTTTTTAATCGGTGTAAAGAATAACTGGTTGTTTCTAAAAGCATTTTGATATTGGTAAAGGTGTCTGCAACTTTTGTGAAGCATCACTGGCATATTAACTGTCAAAACATGTTTATGACTGCATAAATGTATTATTGCTTTTAAAAAAAAGTCACATATTGTGCATTTCTATTATACACAATTTGTACTAAAGCGATCTAAAAAGTTCATATCAATAAGTTTTCTCTTTGCACCACCAGATGGCAGTCTTTGCACTTTCATTTTGAGGGTGCAGATTGCATACGTTTTATTAATATGTAAAACTTTATTTATTTTATTAATGACTATAACTTTTATATATATAGTTAAAAAATATTTACTATTTTCCCAAGTGTATATAACTTTTACTGTAAGAAAATATCAGAACTCGGTACATACTTTCTGTATTATCTTTGCTTGAACTGAGCCGATCTAATCCTGTTTATATGATTTGAACTTGCTCCCGATCAGGTTTGACCTAGCAGATCTGTTGCCATGACAACAACTCTCGGATCAGCTTTGAAGAACGAAACGATCCTGGATCGTGTCAAATCGTCAATATCCAAATCCAGCTAACTGAGTAATCCACGTACGAA